AAGGATGCACCCCTTACCTCCCTTAGCTCTAGCAAACATCTTATGATCTGACAATCCCTATTTGTAGCCCTCTAGCTTAAGAACTTTCAAGAATCTATAAACCATGCCCTAGCAAACTACTTTAGGCCATGTAGAGATTTATTCAACTTGCACACTTGATCACTTCTGCCTTTATCAAATCCCGAAAGTAGAGTCATGTATACTTCTTCTCTTAGTTCTTTGTTTAGGAGGGCATTCTTGATGTCAAGTTGATGAAGAGGTCATTCTAGGACAGATAATAGAACTCTGATGGTGTTTAATTTTGCAACTAGTGCAAACATTTTTTTGTAATCAATACCATATGTCAAGTCGCTCGCTGTTAGACTTGCGGGCTAGGTCAATTAGCAGCCTCTGAACCCTTTTAAGGGGCAATGAGATCTAAAACCTCACCTTTGAGTTGCAGTCTCACACATTGAACAGTGGCCTCAGGAGTTGGAACAAATGTGAGTGGACACCAGAACCCCAAGATCGGAACTTGGCTTTGATACCATGTGGTATTTTAGAGAAAGAATTATTTTCTCTCTTATTTCTACATAGTGTTACATATAGGTATTTATATACTAGGCTAAAAGACAAGATACCAAAAGACTATCATGGCCCATTAACTCCTGATAAAGAGAAAAGAATATTTTTATAAATATAATATCACCACATAAAGTAGTTTGTAGCGCATTAAAAACTGAGATGAAATAAAATAAAGGCAATTTTAAAATTTTTCTTAAAATATCCTATTTTCATTTTGAAATCCACCTATGTTTCAAGACAAATCCTAAGCCTAGATAGAGGAAAAAGGTTATGTTAGGCCCTCAAACACCAACATAAAACTCAATTGAATCTCTTGTAGATATGGATTTTAAGATGAAATTGTGCTAATGCTAGGTTGTTACCCAAAAGTTACACATTGTATTACTCGAGTAAAGTGGCAAATGAGCTAAAGCCATTACATTAGCACCTGAATGTAGCGTGAAATGAGCAAGGATTCCCATATTTATCTAGAAGGATGTGCATAAAGAAGTTAGTCCATGAAAGTAAAATCATGTTCAATACTTGGAATATTGGCCTATGTCATGTAACTCTATAAAGGTAGTGGATGTTGTGATGTGAAAAAAATAATATTGAGTTCCTTCAAGAAACCGAATGAATTGGACAAAAGGCTATGGAAATGCACTTTACAGGACATAAACTTCGATAGGCAAGGAAACTAAATGCAAGGAATGGGGTCGCTATTATTATCGACAAGAACTAAAAGAAGAATACGGTGGAAGTAAAAAGGATTGGGAATATAATCTCTAAGAATGATTGTTGTATGAGATGCTATTAACATCATAAGTGCCTATGCACCTCAAATAGGGTTAATAGCAAAAAAAGAAGCTTTTGGAAGACTCAAAAGGATTGATTTAAGGCATGTGACAAGATGAAAAGATCAATGGAGACCTTAATAACCATGTCAGCAAGGAAGTTAGGAGGAAGTGGTGGCAGCTAAAGGGTATGAAACAACTTATCTTCAATTGGGAGTTATGAGGAGATGCTAATATAATGTGGGATGAAATGGCCATGCAATAGAAAGGTTACTAAAGCAATTTTGGGTGAATCAAAATGTTTTGGACCAAGAGATAAGGAATGTTAGTGAAGTAGTGAGAGTGTACAAGAGGTCAAACGCAAAAGAAAGTGCTTCAAATCCTTGCATTTGTTCAAAAACAATGAAAATTGGGAAAGGCATGTGACAGCTAGAAATAAGACTAAGAAAGTGATAAGTGGGGCACAACCTAAAGCATTTGAGAAGTTTTATAAGGATTCAAGGACAAAGAATAGGAAACAAAAGATATAAACATCATAAGAAACAGAGAAAGGAAATAAAAACAGATTTGATTGAACCAAGGATGGCCACTATGCACAATCACCATTAACCACCACTAGGGCAACCATGCAAAACCACTTTGTCGCCAATAGGGGAGGGAGCAGATGACCAAAACCAGCAAAAAGATGAATTTAAAAAATATATAGAAGCAACAGCAACAGAAGGCTAAAGCCCCAAATCTAACACCATGAACAATGAGGAAGAGTGATGGAGAAGGCAACAACCTCGGTTGAAGAAGAGGAAAGTAACAGAGATGAGAGACAAAGCTAGGGACTTTACAAGATCAGTGACGAAGCTCGAGCTTGACAAGATCTGGAACAAAGATAATATGAGTGACAGGACAAGATCAACAATGAAGCAAGGGCTTTATGAGATTTGTAGCAAAGATGAGATGAGTGACAGGGGGCTTGTGAGTGAGTATAGCCCTAGATTACAAGATGAGCAACGAAGGGCTTGGGATATGGAGATCAGATGGAGTGGTTGTGATTGTCTTCAGAAAATTCAAGATGGAGTAAAGGTCAATTTGGTCATAATACTTTCATTCCCAACAATGAACCTTCATTCCCATGGGTTCCTTAGGCCCTGTTTAGTATGGGGTATTGCATTTTAAAGGACTAAGAATGGGACTAAAATTGGGAGTAGGTATAAGTTTTAAAATGATGTTTGGTATATTATGAGATTGAAAAAAAAAAAGAGTCTAGGATTAAACAAAAAATTGCAATAAAGACACAAATACTCTAATCTTGTTCCTTCCACTCTTGCTGCTGAACCCAAACTCATCCAATCAAATCTTCAAGGCATCCCAAAACCATTATCCACTCCATCAGCTACATCGTGCTTTACTTTGTCTCAAGAAAACAATGAAACATTTATGCAACATAAATTAAAGATCTAGGGAAAATCTGCAAACAATTGTAAGGGACGAGGGGCATGAACGGAGCCATATGACCTATCCTCTCGGATAAAAATTATTAACACCTTAAATACTAATTACAATTAGATAATCTCCCATAATAAAAGTAAAAGAAAAATCAACCTAAAATCTTCCGATAATTCTCAATACCTAAAATTTTTTTGTTCCGCAAACTATTATCAAGATCCAGCCCCATAAGCATGTCAACTACATCATACTCGAACTCCTACCGTCTTTGTCTTTATAGAGGGAGGGCAGCTCCGTCTATGCCTCCCCTTGCTTCAATCATATTGTTTGTGACCCGGAAACGACAGGCATGCAATCTAGATATGAAAGGACAGAGACGCAACTGGGATATGTGCACGAGCAGAGCAAAGACGCGATCGGGATCTGAAAGGGCAAAGACAACAACGCGGAAAGAACGACAAGAAGGAAAGAGCAAGCATATTAGGAGGGAGGGAGATAAAGAATTGGAGAGGTTGGAAGGCCATTATGGTCGTAAAAAAAATCAAACCCAAGATTAATTTTGCAATACCAGAGGGTGGTAGTATTAGGAAATCCCATGTAAAGTAGGATTAATACTTGGATTGGAATACTCATTACCCCATACCAAACATAAAAAGATGGGATTACCCAATCCTATCCTCCCAATCCTTCATACCAAACAGAGCCTTAAGGTTTGTTGATTCCATCAAACTAGACAATGAATCATTCCTTTGCAGTGATGTCTACCATGTAGCAAACACACCAAATGGACCATTCCCTTTCTTCATGGTCCATTCCTCGCTGCCAAACATAGCCTTGTAAGCTTTTCTATGATGAATTCAACACTTCAACCCAAGGATGCTATCTAGCAAGTCTTGCTAGTAAACGATATACCTAGAAAGTCATTGATAGAGCACAATAATATCGTGTGATCCAAGTAGCCAACTTCACTTAATGGGATGAGGCTAATTGTTGTTGTCATATCTTGTTTTCATTTGAATTAATCAATGGAAAGAGGTACAAACACATAGATAATAACTTTAAAAAAGGTGCATGACAAGGTACACCATTTCTATCCACTTTCTGAACTGTTTTGGCATCCTCAATTATACCCTATTTGCCATACAGACACCTCTTTATTGGATCCCCCCCCCCTCGAGGAAGAAATCACCCTTGTATTATCAAGAGTGTTGAGTGATTAATTCTCTTCTTTACAAAGCATGTGACACAAACCAAGGGAGGATATAATACAAGGCATAAAAACAACTTTCAGTCTACAGTAACTTTACACAAGTGTCAGCCCAACCAATGTTTCAAAATTCCAAGGCCATATTCTTCTCATGTTCCCATATTTCACTAAAAAACTGGAATGGACAACCGTGACTGGGCAATTATTACTGCTGGCTCCATTGGATAGAGAAAAGCATAGCCACTTGTTTTAGAAATCCATTACTACTTCTGCTCCCACATCAAAGCATTAATATTTAGGCTAATGTTAATGCCAAAATTTTTCCATATTCTCCAATTTTTAGTCAGGTTATGTGATGGTAATATTTCAAAAGACGATAAAGAAATAATCTTCTTCGTTCTGCTCATAGCAGAAGTAAGGGAGAAAATGCAAGACATAAAAATCCATTAGTTGTTATTTATGAAGCAAGTTCACTTCAAGAAATGAGCTTTTTCCTTGTCTGACGCATGTCAACCACTATTGAATCATAACACAAAACTTCAGAAAGTACCAAGCTCCTTAGGTTGTGACAGCTTTCCTAGAAAGCATGAGACCCGAATCAAACAGCTCAACAACCTAATACAATAATTCCATTCTACTTATATCCCAAGAAATCATGATTCACAAAAAAAAAAAAAAATTGATGGGAACTTCAAGATCATTAATTGGCATTCCTAAATATATACAACTTAAAATCAATATACTTATGTGTTTATGATCATCATTTCTTTACTTAAGAGTGTCTAGAGAAGATGGAATTGGTTTAAATGATAGCATCCAAAAGCAAGAGAGAAATTTTTTTTTTTCATTGTTTTCTCTGGTAAATCTATGTATTTTTATGCATCTACCTGTGAGGTCATGAATGCTGCTCGTCAAAACACACAGATGTTTCATAAGTTCATATTAGACATATTCTTGGTCAACAAAAATGAGATGGTAGAAAAGTAATACAAGTTTTGTGTAATACAAAGAATTACCAATCTCTGGCACTGAAGCTTTATCAATTGAATGGTCATTAACAGCTGCAGGATGTGGTCTTGCTGAAATTACTCGGATCAAACCCCTAGAACCTGTTCGCTTTAAACTAGAGGTTTTGATATTAACTGGAACTGAAAATGACCGAGTCATGTGATGCTTGACTTCCATTTTCTATTTATATACAAAAAACATATATATTATTCACCAATGCAGCAAAATATAAGAATACATATACAACTTTAGATACAATAAAATTCGAAATTTTTACTAAGTAGTGTATAAAATGTAATGTTTGGATCTTCAAATTGTAGAGGACAATAATCAGCAAAAGAAACATACACTTAAGTCAGGATCACTTCCTAGATGACTTCCCTGTACAGTCTCTGCAACTGTATTTGCAATTGGTGTAACTGGTAATGAATTTGATGTTTTTGTTGATGAAGGGAACAAAACCTTATTAAAAGAAAGGGACCTTGAAGTTGAAGGCTTATCCAAAGTTCCATCTGACGATGGAATATCAGAAACAATGAGAACTTCCCTTTCACAATCCGGAGAACAATTTTTTGCCTTTAAACTCCTCTGAGGAAGTAAACTTCTCATGGAAGACTTGACTCTAGCTGAATTTGGTCTTGGAGGCAGTCCTCCACGAGAGGAACCTGGACTTGACAGGGATAGAACATCTGTCTTTGCAGAAGATGGTAACGCACCTTCTACTGACCTTACTGGTATATGCAAAGAGGCGAGACTTGGTCGTCTGGACTGCTGAAGCAAGGAGGAATTATCACCTTTTTCATTTCCCGTGCGTGTCTGGAAAGTTGCCGAAACTAGTTCATCAAACAAAGAGCTCAATAACTTGAGTACGGTGCAAAAGGTCAAAGCTGTAGGTAAAATAGTTTGCATCCCTCCCCCCCCCCTTTCTGTGACTCTATGTTCGTTGTGTCACATTTCCTCCAGCCTCTTCTAACTCTCTTACAGGTGTTAAAAATGGTATATGACAAGGTTGCTTGCAAGAACATGGCCAATTTCAGTTTATCTTTTGCGCTCAAGTACGCATTTTAGGGTCATCAAGCAAGCCGAAGCTTGAAAATTATCCTTTCCTTGATGTAATCCAATAAATAGCTAAACTAAGACAAAAACATTAAACTGCAATCAATTTACATTAATTGTCAGACCTCATTGTTTTGCTATGTCCTGCTAAATGAACAGTGTGATCAGCCATCTTGACTACTAAATGAAGCAAACCCAGCAAACCAGTAACATGGGAAAAATTATAAAAACGTGATCATAAATAATCCAGCTTTAAGAACTTTAATATCACGGGAACTCACAGCAGAAGGCGAAACACCCCTCCTAATTCTTTTTCGTCCTCGTTTTTCAGAATGGGTATTCTTGTGCTCAGTGATGTAACTCAATACAACAAGCGGAAACAGGAAACTCAAATTCTTTTCCTTTTTCTTTCAAAATTTTCCATTTTCTTTTGTTTTTTCTCCTCCATATAGTTCTGAGCCCATTTGATCTAAGAGAAAACGCAGGCACCAAAAAAAAAAAAAACAGAAAGGATTTCTATCATTCAGATTTATGAAATCACCTGTAGACGATGATAATGAGCAGGATCTGACAAGGAATCTCTATCACTTCTAACTCCAGCATCTGCATCTGCATCTGCATGTGTTTTTTCCATTGAATTCCAAGAAAATCCCCAAGGGCAAGAAACGAGAGAGAGTGATGCAAAACTGAGGACTTCAAATGCATGAGCGCACGAGCATCCCAAAAGGAATATTTGGGGGAGGAGAAAAAATGGCATAAAAAGTCATGAAACTGAATGATGAGAATGCTTGAATACTTAGGAGCGAATAATTAAGCATTAACAGGTGAAAGTGCATCAGATTTTGCTGTATTCATTGTATTTTAAAATGGTAGTGACAGATTATCTACCCGCCAACTTGCAAAGCTTTACAATCCCCAGATTCTTCCGCTTCTCTCTCTAATCTTTTTATTTCAGCCTAGCACATAGCTTTGCAATAACAGATAAAAAATAAATAAATAAATAAAGACAGAAAGACGAGTTCACCCAAAATTTAGGAGGCAAAATAAAAACAACAAAAAGACAAAAAAAAAAAAAGCATAAAATCCAACATCGAGCAACAGTACAATGAGAGAAGACTTTTTTTTTTTTTTACCCAAAAAAAGAGACAGTAAAATATATGTATATAAATTTGAGAGTACATAAAAAAATGATAATAAAATACCTCTAAATTTTATAAATAATAATTTAATTTTTAAAAATAGTATAATTACAATGTAATTTTTGAAAAATTTCTTAACATTAATGAATTAATATAAATGATTAAATCGCCCTTTATTTATTATATTAATAAAGCGTAGTAAATAATAAGTGCCAATTATAAGTTTTGTTTAAATAATTATAATTTTCTTCCTTAAAATAGTAAAAATGTAATAGCAAATCACAAATTTGCATGTCAAATTCATTATAATGCTAAAGTATAGCAAATAACAAGTGCCAATTATAAAATTTTTTTAAATAATCATAATTTTTTCCTTAAAATTATAAGAATTCAACAAAAAATGACAAGTTTACATTTCAAATTCCTTCTTGATATTCCTTCTTAAATAATCACAACTTTAGGAATATCAAATTAAAATGCAAATTTGTAATTTTCTATTGCATTATTGTGATTTTAAAAAAAAGTTGTGATTAATTAAATAAAATTTGTGATTGACACTTATTATTTATTACACTTCAACAATATAATGAATCAAGAGCCATTTGGTTATGTACATTAATTCATTAATGATAGAAAAGTCTTTCAAAATTTCAGTATAATTATGTCATTTCGAGAGATTAACTTATCATTTATATAATTTAGAGAGATTTTATTATTATTTTTCAAATATAAATTGATGATTGATTATTATTATGTGTTATTAAAAAATAAGGAATGTTATGGAAAACCCTTGGGTAAAAACATTAGTATTTACTAATAAGTCTTTAAAGAACTTGTTAAAAAAAAAAACATATTAATAAGCTGTAACTTTCTCAACTTCACTGATAAATATTAGAACACTTATAATGTAAACCAGAATCGATAAAAAAAAATTATAAATATTCCTCCAATATTCGTAAGACAAATTACAAAATTTATAACTCATCTGGCATATTTTTTCCACAAATTATTCATAAACTTATTATAATAATTAATAATAATTCAATTTTAGAGGATCCATTAATGAATAATTCCTTACAGAAAGATAATTTGTAAACGATTGATTAAGTGAGTGTAACATAGATGATAATGGTATGAGTCCCTTGAACATTTTTAAAGGATTCAATTTTTAAATGTACATATGAAAAGGCATCTTTTGGGAGAAAACAAGATCTTAAATAATGCTTCAATTTCATAAAGGATTAATCTCGTGATTATTGACTATAAAATACCTTAGGTTAATGGAAATTTGCTTTTACTACGAGCATTTTATTTATAGTCAAAAGTCCAACAAATACAAGGCCAAATTCTTATTAGAAGTCTACAAGCTAGTGTACTTCAAGTTAGCCCAAATTTAGGCTTATGATTAGGCCTATTTAGATAAATAGGCCAGGTTTATTTTTATAAGGCCTAACTTATATTCCTTCCATTTAAAAATGTAAGATATTTTTTAAAAAATTGAATATTTAAAAATGTAAAACATTTTTAGTCTTTCAAGGTGTAATCATTGTCTCTTTCCAAAAGTGCCTCTATTGATAGTGACTTTATATTTATTATAGGGTATTTAATAGAAATAAATATAAAAAAATAGTATTAGTTTAAAAGTAGGTAACTACTTTATTAAGAAGTAAAATTTAATTAAAAATGCTTTATATTTTTTAGCGGAGGGAGTAAGTTTTATAGGCTGTGTACATATATATTATTATATATTATATACATGTAATATATAATATTTAATTTAAAAATTTACATTTAATCAACTCTTTCCCTTTTTATATATCCCATTTTTCTTCTATATCAAAACTTGAAAGCATTAGACAGTTTTTCTTGCCTATGTTCCCTTTTATTATCTTTTGCATAATAAATTTATGATATACAATTTTATCATTTAATTTTTAATCAATTTGTTCTTTTTCATTTATAGTTCCTTGGTTATATTTTTCAATTAGATAGACTCATGCATATATTGATTTCAATGTAATTATTATATTGTAGATTATTAGTCCTCTTGCTTTTTATATATTTTAGTTGGTAAACTAAATTGTATATATATATGTAACGTTAGTTATTTGTAATCGATATGTTCTCTTTTCATTTATAATTCCTTAGAAAATTTATCAAATATACTTAAAATTATTTGTAACGTTAGAAATTTACAAGAGTTGGTTGTAAATCGTAAACTAATCACTTATATCGCTTAAGAAATCAACAAAAGATACTTGAAAACTTTTGTAACGTTAATTGAGAATTTATAAAAATTCATGATTTTCAAGATAATTAACAATAAATAATTTATTGTAAGTAAGTTTTATAGTCTATTTTAATAATTTAAAGCTTGTAATTGTCATTAATATTTTTATAGGGTCTCTAATTGTCATTTTTTCAAATATTTAATGTGACAATATACATGCTAATGAAAGAAATGAAGTTTGATTTAATGGTAGGGGTGAAAATAAATTAAATTAAATTAAGCTTTAGTCAAATAAGTCTAAACCTGAGAAGTATAAGTTTAGCTTGATATAAGACAATTTTTATAATTCAAATATAAGCCTACTTGAAATTTGACACAGTTTGGAAGCATATCCAAAAAGTAAAAGGCTGTGTAAAAGCACGTTTTTTTTGTTGGCTTACATAATTAATTTTAGAAGTTTTATATAAATTTTAGAATTATTAAAAATATTTATATATTGACAGTAAAAAAAATTATAAATGATTGACTTTTGATTTATGATTAACTCTTATAAATTTTTAACTAACGAAACAATTCTAAACATGTTTTTCCTGATTTTTCAAATAGTATATATATATTGACAATAAAATATTAATATTAATAATTAACTTTTATAAATTTTCAACCAACATTATAAATAATTATAAATGTGTTTTATTGATTTTTCAATTGATTATTTACTTTTTTTAATTGTAAGTAAAAATTATAATTTTTTATTAAAATTTTAATAATTTAAAATATATAATTATCATTAATATTGTTATAACGTTTCTAATTATCATTTTGCCTTAATATTTTACTAGTTGGAACGTTTCAGTTGTCACGTAACTTTCAAACCCGAAAAGGAAAAAGAAAAATAAAACAAAACATGAAACATGCTCTTATCGAATTCAACTTTGGCGGCTTGACCTCAATGCCTAATGCCAATGGGGTCAAAATCAGGCACTTCAGAAGATTACTCTAGGATCTTAAACAAGATGAACGTGGTGCATTTCAACCCATGTTCTTCTACATATACATACATATATATATATATATATAAAATTAAAAATGCTTACTTTAATTTTCATACTTATATATATATACACACACTTTTATTTACTTTATTTGTTATTTTAAAGAAAATGAGTTTTTAATTTTTATTGATATAATGTCAATAAACAAATTTTGCAATCAATATTTTATTATAATAATCTATAGAATGAAGTAGCAAATTTGGCCATCAACTATTTTTTCAAGAGCACTAAATAGCCTATATTATTAGGTGATATAAATAAATTCTCAATTTTAAAAAACAGAGTATCTAGTAGCTCATCGTTAATTTCACTCAACGAACATTATGTGGAGCCCACAAAGGACAAGTGGCACTCCACCTCATCATATGTAGTTCAAATTTAGTCATGAATTATATTTTAAGAATTATTAAGTAGCTTTTACTATAAAAAATAAGCCATCCAATATTTTCTCATCAATTTAGACCAACCACCATTTTTTAGAGTTATGAAACTCACAACACTTCAACCTCTCAAATCTTCTCGCCTTCATTCTTGATCTTAGATTGAGAAGAATAGGTTCAAAAAGTTTTCATCTAAAGATATTCATAAGGACAATGCAAATGAAATAAAAGCTTGATTTTACTACGCAGGGGATAAGCTTGATTTTAGGTTAATTTAGCTATGAATTATTTATTATACTTCATTGACACCGTCCTTCTAAATGTCTTCAGGCAAGCACTCTTTAAAGCTCTTCTTCTTGAGCTAAGACTGAGAAGAAGGTAAGAAGATTGAAGAGAGTGATGCGTCGTAGATCTCATAAGTCTAAAAATAAATTATGTTTGGTTAAAATTGATAAAAACATATTAGATGGTCTGTTTTTTATAATAGAGACTACCTAATGCTTCTCAAAAAATAGTTTGTAAATAAATTTACACCGTCATGTGTCATTTGTGAGCCCTATATAACGTCTGTCGAGTAAAATTAACGGTGGGTTATTGGATGCTTTGTTTTTTAAAGTTGAGGATTTATTTCACATCATCTGATAATATAAGCTACCTAGTGCTCTTGAAAAAATAGTTATTAGCCAAATTTACTATTTTATTCTAATCTATAAATAAGTTGATATTAATATTTTTAAATTGAATAAAAAAATTGATTGTTTAAATAAGAGTAAAAAGAAAAAATAGTTTAAAATGGTTCAATCATTCCATGTTTCGGGTTTTCATAATAATTTCAAAACCCACTTGAGTTATAGTGAACTAATCTGAACCAACTACTAGAATATATTAAGAGTGTCCTTAGGTAACCAACTTTTGACTTTAAGAAAGTACTTTTGCAACTTTTTAAAACCCAAAAGTTGTTTGGCTAGATTTTTTTTTATGAAATCACAATTCAAGAATACTTTGTTATGTTTGATAATAATTTGATTCAGTTATGTGAGGCTCGGATTGATCAAATGAAGACTGTGATAAACTGTAACACCCTCAAATTTACAAACCAATTTTTTGCAAATTATTAAAACTATTATCATGGT